GACGTAAGCGACACAGTTTGTGCCAATATCTTTAACACCGCGTTCTCATCAGTGTTCACTAAAGAAGCCAACGTACCATTTCCTACGCCACCTACTGCGACAATACCAGTGATGGCCCCTGTTGTGTTATCCGTTAGTGGCATTTCATCACTCATTGACAAATTAAAACTTTCAACATCAGCCAGCGTAGACAATATTAACTCTAAATAGTTAAAAAATACTAAGGAAATTATTGCAGTGTACTTTTCGATGATGTTCTCATTGTCACTCGTAACAGGAATTTCACCAGACGACTGGAAGGAGGGAAAGGTCATTCCAGTCCACAAATCAGGTAACAGACAGTCCCTCCTAAATTATTGACCCATCTCTCTAACAAGCGTTCCCTTTAAAATCATGGAATATGTCATATATTGACACATCATGAACTTTCTTGACACCAACAATATTTTTCATTCTTCCCAGCATGGATTTCGTAAATCATTATCCTGTGAAACCCAACTTGCTATATTTATTCATAATATACACTCTTCTCTCGACCGTCACTTTCAGACCGATGCAATCTTTCTCGACTTTGCAAAAGCCTTTGATAAGGTACCGCACAAACGCCTGCTGTTAAAACTTTCCCAGCTGAACCTGCACCCCAACATTCTTGCATGGATCACACAATTTCTTACTAACCGCTCTCAGTTCGTCTCCATTAAAAATACCCGTTCTAGCTCCCTCCCAGTAACATCCGGCGTCCCCCAAGGATCTGTACTCGCACCCCTCTTGTTCCTTATATTATGATCTTCCTGTTCATGTATTTTCTCATATCCGTTTATTTGCCGACAACTGTGTCATCTATCGCACAGTTACTAACATTTCTGATCAAACTACACTCCAACAGGATCTGGATCTCATGCAACAGTGGTGTGATCTTTGGTTAATGAAGCTTAACCTCACTAAATTCAAACTCATCTCATTTCAACGCCAGCATAATCCTTTATCATTCTCATACCTAATCTCTATTTCTGCTATCGAACAAGTTCAGTCATATAAATACCTAGGCGTCACCTTAACATCTGACCTTTCCTGGAACACACACATCAACAACATCATATCATCCGCGAACAGATCCCTCGGTTTCCTAAAGCGTCATTTGTGTCACGCACCACTAGACATAAACTTCTGGCTTACAAATCGCTCATCAGACTTAACTAGAATATGCAGCGCCCATCTGGAGCCTGCACCAGATGTATCTAATAACGAAATAGAATCTGTACAAAATCATGCCACTAGGTTCATTCACTCTTCATATTCATACGACATAAGCATATCATCCCTAAAACGTGACATTGATATTGCTAACCTTTCTGTGCGTCGCCGCATCGCCAGCCTCCATTTGTTTCACAAGTACTTTACAGTTCCCTCAATCAAGCACCTTACATGATCCCACCAATGCGCATATCTCACCGCACAACCCATCCTTATTCAATCGCACTCGCACGCGCTCGCATTACTACTTTTGCTGCCTCATTTTTTCGTCGCACAGCAGTGGACTGGAATGGCCTTCCCCGTGTGACATTGCAGCCATCACGTGTTCATCAATGTTTGCGCAAAACATAAGTACATATTGTTTGTCAGAAGATCACTCTCTGTAACCTCCATTTGTTAACCCACCCCTTATGTAATACCCCCTCACCGGGGTCTTTAAGGTAATAAAGTGAAGTGAAGTGAAAGTTAGCAATGCTAACCACATGCTTGGCTTGTGCAGAAATGTCGCACCACTCCTTCCTTTCTTAATGTTAACGTACAATCAAACCAAACATGTGCACGCATGTGCCTTTAATACATTTTGTAAACAGATTTGTCCAATGCCTATGAACAAGCCTTACCAATGCCTTTTGGCCTGTTCGACACTTCAGGGCCTTCGATGCACTGTAAGGGCACAAGAAAACTTGTGGGTCTTAAAAGTGACTTGATTCAAGACTTTGCAATATGATGGTTGATTGAAAGTGATAAATACTGAAGTTGATAAATGAGTTAGTTGTGGTGTCGTGTATAGTAATATGCATACTCTGTGAAAAAGAAGCAAGCATGCAAATTAGTGAATTCATAATGAAAACATAATGACATCAGTGCTAGATTGGTTGTTGTGGTAACTCACCTGTAGTTTAATCGTAATTATGGAATATGAATGTTTAACTATCTTAAGTTTTAATGAACTGGCATTTAGTTTGTGAATACCATTATGCTAAAGAGCATGTACATATTCTTGTTGGTTGTACAACAACAGCGTTAGGAAATATTTTTAAAAATTGAGTGGTAAAAAATTTGTGGCCCAAGCCAAGAACATTATTAGCATTGCTCATTTTGTAGTCAGCCTAGACATTCGAGAATAATTTAACAGACATCTGCCCAGCCAAGTATTTAAATTTACCAAGGATGTTTCAAGGGACGACTACATGATAATTGCACCTGCATGCATGAGCTCGTGTCTCTCAAGTTTCGTGCATGTGCTTCGTCATGGCAGAGCACGGTGCAAATAAACCCAATGGTTGTCGGCCACTGTTTGGTACACAAGTTGTGCAGCAAAACGAATTTGAAATAAATTTTAATACAAAATGTTTCATTGCTATTTCCCAGTTGATGTATTATTTCCATTGCAATATAAAAACAAGTACATCAAATACTGGCTGTATCTCCCTTTGCAGCTATGATAAGGACTCCTAGCAATCTTAAAAGTAGGAATCGAGTATGTGGCGAAAACATCAAGCCCTTAAAATCTACAGAAGTGTTAAGAAAGGGTAAGTGACAATTGTATAGGTAGCAAAATCACTTTCCTAGAGCGAAGCAGCCAGCTGCACTAGATAAGCTGCCATGTTTAATGCGTATAACCTGCCAGGGATGAAATTTATGATACTTTTACACATTTTCTCTTTATTTCAGTGCACTTAACATTTTAAATTTTATTAAACTAGTAAAAAATATTTAGTTCTACAAATAATGGCGACTGAATCAAATAGAACAGTATTCAACTTGGTATGTGAAATCGTAGAATATTTTGCACACCCTTCGAATTTGGCAGTTTCAGAATTTCCCAGGGACACATACTTCTCCATATGGGCTTTACATGTTTTCTAGAGAAAGCTTCTGGGCCATCATCGTAAAATAATTTTTGTAATTAAGCCATCATAGCAAGTGTGGTACTTCATTTGTTTTTTGCAAAGCAGTTATAGGGTTCACATATCTCTATTTTCAAGAAATATGAAGTGAACGAATGAAAGTATAGTTAGGCAGCTAACTGAATGATATAATGACCCGTATGGACTATGACCACTGGAAGGGTGGAGCGGGTGCTGTTACACGTGGACTTACAGGCTGTTAAGGGTAGATAGACAAATATGGCTGATTGTGCGTAAGTATTAGGGCATGTCAGTTCAGATTAAATACCAGACAAAGATTACAGGCTGCAGTCCTGATAGATCTGGACTGTTAGAAGCAGTTCAAGGTGGAAAAGAAGTGGCGTATTAATTGTGACACATTTGTTGAAACTTTGAAAACCAGGAAAGTTTCTCAAGCAGGCAATGTTAAGTGATGTTTTTGATGACTGTGACATTGCACACTGTCACTCTGCACATGTGTCTGTTTCCTTATATATTTTATACCAAAGCCACAAACAAAGATAGATGGCAGTTAACTCACGTCCTGTGTTTCCTGTCTTATGCAAGTGTCATTCTGCACTTTATTACCTTAGAAGTACTTGTTGTTGGGCAGGTTGGTATAACATTATTAGGGAAAATTCTAGACGATGCGAATTTGTGGTGCAGTGTAAATATTTTCTGTAGTTCAGCTGCGACTGACGCTCTTTTCCTGTGCTTTTTCATTTTTCCAGTGGTGCTTGGGCATCTATAATTTTCCCCTGAGCTTAATTACCTCCCTGAAGCTATGCATCATCTTGCCCATCAACAACCATCGTTAAACTATTGTATGTGGCATTGTTGATGCAAAATGACCTTAGAGTATATGTTAAAGCTCCTGCAGGATCACCGGCTGAATGTGACAACCAGTTCACCATTTATGGGACCCGAAGTATTGACATTTTCAATATATCTGTTCGCACAGTGCTTCATTGGAGTCATGCAAGATTAAATATGGTGATCCCACAGAGAAATTTTTCTTCCTGTGCTGTGACCAACGGGAAAACTATGTAGACAATAACGAAAAGAGATCACAATAGGCTTAGCTGTGTGACGTCTGCCTCAATAAAAATGTAATAAATGAATGCAAGTGTGCTTATATGACCATGGTGTTGCCAGTTTATTACTACATTTGATATGCATCTCTGCTCCCTCCACCATGGTGCCACATTTTTTACTTGCTTGTTAGCTCTGAGACATCTGGCAACTATGGTCCTAATATTAATGCATTTGACAGTTGTGCATAATATCTTTGTTTACAATAGTGTTTGCAAAAGTATTTGCAGTGCATAGCAATCAATTCCCAGCTAAATTTTGTCCTGTATTAAACAGATAAAAAATCGCATATCTACACGTATTTTGTTGCAGCATGTTAAACCTTAGCTTGAGACCGCCCAAATAGAGCCAGTGCCGAAGTCATTGGTCTACGGAAAATGTTGATGTGTAAACCACTATGCCATCAAAAATGTTGATGTGTATAACCACCATACCATCAAACACTTTTTTTCTCTCCTACTAAGTCAACAGGATGGCCACAGTTGCAAGTGTGATCCTGAAGCAGACGTTCCTACAACCGCTACACTTCCAAACGATTTCACATATGAAAGTATGTATCAGTCTAACATTTCGGATTTCTATGGTGCCTCTCTCCAACTTTACCAGTTCTCGTTCCTGAGTGAACATGCTTTAGTGGGAAGCATGCCAAGATATTTAACCAGGCACATCAATACACTAAACATTCACAATTTTGAGACTTGCATGATGACTATCGCGCTTATCTCTGCAGAAAGTGGTGTAAAAATAAAATGACAAACACACATGCCTTCCTATCCGCATTCTTAATTTTCTGTCTCTTTCTTTAACACGTACATACGCTGCATCAGCAGAGAAGTTTCCCTTCCAAGCCAAGCCTTTCTCGTGAAAGCTCAGGGTAGGGTTGCACAGTCTCCTGAACTTTTGATCCAAAAATTGCTTGTACAGCATCTCCATTTCCTCATACATAGTCCAGTCTCATCCCTGTGGCTTGACGGGACTTTCCGATTACTACGGCTCCTTGACGAGGCTGGCAATGTAGCCTTTGCTCTGCAGAAAGCCTCGGCACTTGACGAGCACCGAATAGCGGGCCACCCATGGTGCAGACCAATGGCGGATGTCCTCCTCGGCCATGTAGCCCTTGAGGACACGAGCCATGCCTTCATGGTCAAGCAGAACTGCAAATACAGGAAAGATGCCAGATGTATTCCAGTCCATAGCAGCGATTACTGCAACTTGCTTGAATGCTTTCCAAGAATCCCTTCGCAAGCCTACACTGTAGCTGTAAAAAACCACGACATGCCCAGTCTATGCTTTAGCTTTGCCATTCACTGGTATAACAAATATGACATGGACACGTGTGCACACACCTCACATAAAGTACAGCATCCAAAACGGTTTGAAAGAACCAGTTAACAACTTGGAGGATGCTTCTAAGAGTGAAACGCAATAGCATAATAGGACTCAATCATGATCGACTTGTTGCCCCACCGCTGTAGTCTAGTGGCTAAGGTACTCGGCAGCTGACCCGCAGGTCGCGAGATCGAATCCCGGCTGCGGTGGCTGCATTTTCGATAGAGGCGAAAATGTTGTAGGCCTGTGTGCTCAGATTTGGGTGCATGTTAAAGAACCCCAGGTGATCGAAATTTCCGGAGCCCTCCACTAGAGCATCTCTCATAATCATATGGTGGTTTTGGGATGTTACACCCCACATATTGTCGCAGTGTAACGCGAACAAAGGATGACAGCAGCTTACGGCAGCGAAAAGAGTGTGTCCAGGATCAACTGTACAGCAAGACGCCTGCTTCGTTATCATCTCGAAAACCGCCTGTCCCACTACCTGGAATCTACAAAACATTGCTATCATCGTTCTTTTTCATATACACACGTGTCATTTGCCCCTCCTTAAAGGAGCATGGCCCCAATGCTGATTCAGACCCACCGTATTTTTTTTAACGTGCAGCCAGTCACTCACATACAGCTTCATACGCACTACATTCACAAGTTCAGGCTGGTGCTGGCGGCGCCTCGGGCAGTGGAAACTGTCGGGGAAGACCTCGTAGGTGACGCCGCTTAGCTGGTGCGATACTCAGTATGGCCCAAAATATCGCCTTAGCAGCATCTTGGACAGTCCACGTTTTCGTATGGGTGTCCAAACCCACACTCTGTCACCGATTTTGTATGTTACTGTTCTATGGCAAGCATTGTAGTGGCCTGTATCGTAGTCTTGTCGCTGGTAGATCAATAAGCGGGCAAGCTGCCTTGCTTCTTCCGTGCGTTCAGTGAACACGTCAGCGCCTGTGTCGGTAGCGTCCCATTCATGTGGCAACATTGCATCCAGCGTTGTTCGTACCTCCCGTCCATGAACCAAGCTGAATGGAGTAATATGAGTCGTTTTTAGTTTAGCCGTACTGTATGCGAACGTGACATAGGGTAAAATTTCATCCCAATTCTTATGTTGGACATCCACTTACATTGGCAGCATGTCTTCAATTGTCTTGTTGAGGTGCTCTGTTAGTCCATTCGTTTGCCCATGGTACGCAGTGGTCTTACGATGAGTCATTTTACTTAGCATCAAGACGTGGTCTAAAAAAGCTGCCGTAAATGCTGTTCCGCGGTCTGTTATCACGATATTGATTGATTTGTGGGGTTTAACGTCCCAAAACCACCATATGATTATGAGAGACGCCGTAGTGGAGGGCTCCCGAAATTTCGACCACCTGGGGTTCTTTAATGTGCACCCAAATCTGAGCACACGGGCCTACAACATTTCCGCCTCCATCGGAAATGCAGCCGCCGCAGCCGGGATTTGAACCCGCGACCTGCGGGTCAGCAGCCGAGTACCTTAGCCACTAGACCACCGCGGCGAGGTCTGTTATCACGACAGTCGGGGCACCGTGGCGTAGCACAATATTTTCTACGAAGAATCTCGACACTTCTGCTGCGGTGCTCTTTTGGATAGCCTTTGTTTCGGCATACCTGGTTAGGTAGTCTGTAGCGACTATAACCCTGTGATTCCCTGCACTAGAAGTAAGAAGGGGTCTCAAAATATCCATTCCTATCTGGTCGAATGGTGTACGTGGAAACTGAACTGGTTGCAGCTGACCAGCGGGTCTCTTTGGAGGTGACTTGCGTCACTGGCAATCGAGGCAAGTGTGAATGTGGTGCTTGACGGCTGTTGTGAGTCGTGGCCAGTAGTATCCCTGCTGTACTCTTGCCAATGTGCGAGTGTAGCCTAAATGGCCAGACGTCAGCTCATTGTGACATGCTTGAAGCACTTCAGTACGAAAGGGTGCAGGAATAATGAGCAAATAGGGAGCTCCGATGGATGAAAAGTTTCTTTTGTAGAGGAAGCCATTGCGTAAGCAAAACGATGATAATGCGCTTGCAAAGACTCTGGGTGCCCTCGTCTGTCCACGTAATTGATCAACGTAAGAACGTCTGTCCACGTAATTGATCAAATCAAGCGATTCAGGGTCGCCTCGTTGTTGTTGGGCAATCGTGGACGCGTCGAGAACACCAAGGAAGGCCATATCGTCGTTGTCAGAAAGAGAGGCTGACTGTACTGATGATCGAGACTGGCAGTCGGCGTCCGTATGTCGCTTCCCAGACTTGTGTATGACCGTCATATCGAACTCTTGTAACTTCAGACTCCACCGCGCCAATCGGCCGGTTAAATCTCTCAAATTAGTCCACCAACAGAGTGAATGATGGTCACCAATAACTTTGAAGGGGCAGCCATACAAATACAGGCGAAATTTCATAACTGCCCAGACCACGGCGAGGCAATCTTTCTCAGTTGTTGAATAATTGGCCTCAGCGCGTGTTAGCGTCCTTCTTGCGTAGGTGATCACTCGTTCCGTGTCTTCTTGCCACTGCACAAGCACAGCTCCGAGGCCTACATTGCTTGCGTCAGTGCGAAGCACTGTTGGCGCTTCCTCGTCGAAGTGGGCAAGCACTGGAGGTGTTTGAAAACGTTGGCGGAGGTCATTAAACGCTGCTTGCAGTTCGTCGTTCCACTCAAAGGTGGCGTCGTCTCAAGTGAGGCGAGTTAGCGACGATGCAATCCATGCGAAGTCGGCGATAAACCGGCGATAGTAGGCGCATAGGCCCTGAAAGCGCCAGAAAGCTTTCTTATCGGACGGTACTGGGAACTGTGCCAGGACCGCAAGTTTTACAGGATTAGGCCGAACACCGGTGCAGCTGACGATATGACCAAGAAACAGCAGTTCTTCGAAACAAAAGTGGCATTTGTCTGGTTTCAATGAGAGGTCTGCGGAGCGTATGACTCGTAAAACAACTTCTAGCCTTTTGAGATGCTCGTCAAAAGTTGGGGAAAACACTATGACGTCGTCTAGTTAAACTAAACAGGTCTTCCATTTTAACCTTGAAAGTACAGTGTCCATGAGCCTTTGAAAAGTAGCGGGCGCTGAGCACAGACCGAAGGGCAGAACTTTAAATTCATATAAACCATCCGGCCTCACAAAAGTGTTTTTTTCCCGATCTCTTGGGTCTACCTCGATCTGCCAACATCCGCTTCCGAGGTTCATTGAAGAAAAGTAGCGAGCGTTTCGAAGCTTATCGAGGGAGTCATCAATACGTGGAAGCGGATACATATCTTTCTTAGTCAATTGATTCAGCTTCCTGTAGTCCACGCAAAAATGCAGGATACGGTCTTTTTTCTTGACTAGTACTACAGGCGATGCCCACGGGCTCTGTGATGGCTGAATCGCATCATCTTCAAGCATTTTAGCAACTTGTTGCTCTATCACTTCCCGTTCCTTTGGAGCCACACGATAAGGATTCTCGTTGTCGTCGGTAATTATTCTATGCCTTGCTAGAGGTATTCGACCGACCTGTGATGTCGATGAAAAGCAGTCCTGGGATTCAGCTAGCAGCTCACGTCTCGTTTGCTCGTCCCTTGACAATATCAATGAATCAATAATCGCCTTATTTGCTTGCGATTCTTTGCTTCTTTCTGGACAGCTCAATTGTTACTAGGAGATGAACTGTCTACAGGCCATCATAAACTCTCTTGAGTCAACTGCAAGTGTACTCGCAAGGGGCTTACTATGCCTTCATTCATCATTTTGCAAAGTTGTCAAGTGCCTCTACATGTCTATAAGGCAACAAATCACTTCACATTCTGCGAATGTTGTAGCTAATGATAATCATAAATTATGGCTGAGAGAGAAACGCCTTTATTCACAAAAGCATGGAGAAGAAGGGCGTGGGAGGAACCCCTAGTCCGGGGTCCCTCGGACGACTCCAGCGACGAGCCGGGCCCGCTGTATCAGAGCTCGGAGGACCTCGGGAGGTCCATCGTGGAGAGCATCATCCCACAGCTCCTTGTTACGTAAAGGGTGAAGGAAAGCAGGTAAGGAAGGAAAGATGTTCGCAGTACACTCGATCGAGACATGGAAGGTCGTGGGCGAGTTTCCACAGCCGGGGCAACGGTCTGCATAGCACTGAGGGTAGAATTTATGAAGGGATACTAGATTGGGAAATGTTTTAGTCTGCAACTGACGTAGCGCTACTGCCTCTTCTCACGAGAAAAATGGCGGTGGGGCGCTCCGAGTGCGACGGACGTTCCTGTAATGACGAAGAATGTCTTTGTAAGTGAGAAGAGGATCTCCCCACTCCGAAACGGTCGCCTCACCTTGCCGGGCCGCCCGGAGAGAAATTTCGCGGGCAACAGCGTGTGCGCGTTCATTGCCTGGCAGAGAGGCATGACCAGGAGTCCAGTGTAAGTGGATGCGAAAAGTACTGTTTGACTCAGTTGGTGGAATTTGAGAATTTGGTGGGCCGCTCTTAAGATGCCATGTCTTGATAGAAAGGCCCGATATGCCGGTTGAAAGTCTGTCAATATGTAAACCTCATGGTGAACACGGATAGCGTATCGTATTGCTAGAGCGACTCCAAGAATTTTACCGTGAGCGGCATGTGTCCCACGCATTGCAGCCGAGTCCTGCAGGGAATCGGTGCCATTTAACACTACCGAGGTGTAACCTTTTCGAGTTCGGGCTGTGTCAATGTATAAAGTATGCAATTTCGGGATGTCTTCGAGCATATGGCTGAGGTATCGTATGCGGGATTCGCGCTGGCCCTTGTCATGCTGGGGGTGCATGTTACATGGTAAGGGATGAACAGTTAGTATTTTACGTATCGCAGGCGATAA